AAAAAAAAAAAAAAAAAAAGAAAACTGAAGTTCAGAGGGAAGATTCACCATATGTGAGATCATATAATAAGGTAGAGGCAGAGCAGGCACTAAAAGCCAGACTTCCCTACCCTAAACTGTCCCTTCTTGGACAGGATATCAAGCTATTGTTTTTCTGGACTGGAGCTCAATCTAACTTTTCAATTTAAGAGATTAGGAATCCAGAGCAGGGCTCGGAGTGGCAAATGAGGGTGCTTTTGCAAGTCTCATGCCTCCCCTGCTGTTTACTCTAAAGAAGGGAGGAGAACCCAGGAGTTGGTCTTTTTTACCAGTTCGCTATCATTTCCCAAGAGATGAACAGGAGGGAGCAGAATTGGCCTGGCTAGAGGTTGCTGAGGGTTCCTGGGGCAAAATGGGAGGCCATGCCCTTACCAGGATGTATATCATCATGTCATTTGTTTCCTGCAGATCGTCAATGTATGGTACTCTGTGAATGGTGAGAGGCTGGGAACCTACATGGGCCATACTGGAGCTGTGTGGTGTGTGGATGCTGACTGTATCCTTGTTTTTTTATCTGAGTATAAGCTTTAGGGCCTGCCAGCAAGGGGAAGGCTAAGTTGAGAGTTGGGATATTGTTGTGGGCCTAGAGAACAATACCGCATATTCCCTAGTTTCTTCATTGGTTGGGGAAATGATTCAAGACAAGTTCTAGTTCTGGATAGGAGATTGGAATGCCGAGAGGAAGAAAGGCTCTTTGGGGCTGAACAAGGAGACGATTGAGTTGGCTTCCCTAAAGGAGAAGGGCTCGCGTAAACTCTGTTACATTTCTTAACAATTTCTTCAGGGGACACCAAGCATGTCCTCACTGGCTCAGCTGACAACAGCTGTCGTCTCTGGGACTGTGAAACAGGTAAGCCTGGGTCATTCACTTTTTCAGCAAATATTGAAGAAATACAGTGTACCTATTTGAGCACACAGGTCTAGGGGAGGTAGAGATAAATCCAGAGAGTGGTTCCAAGTCTAGGAAAAAAGAGACCAGACAGAAAGAAAGACAAATGAGAAAAGAAGCATTAAAGTAAGATACTAGCCATCCATGTTAAAGGAAGCCTGGAGTACTGTGAGAGGCCTGAGGGGTGGAGCTGACTGCCTAGAGTGGGGATGGGAATAGCCTGGAAAGGTTTCCCCAAGGTGAATGTCATAGGAGATGGGGCCTGAAGGATGAGAATGATGCTGTCACTTTGACACATGCAGAAATGAAAGCATGGAGAGTATCATGTCCAAGTCATCTGATCTGGCTGGAGTTCTTGTTTCTTGGGTGGGGAATGGGGTAAGGAAGTGAAATAGATGGTCAGAGGAAGATTAGGCTGGGGCAAGAGGGTAGGACCAGAACAGGCCTTGAATGCCAAACTCAAGAGCTTAGCTTTGTTCTGTAGGACTTGGCATGCTGTGGAGGTCCTTGAGCAGGGAAGAGTGGTAGTCTGTTTAGTTTTAGCAAGGTCAGGGAGCAGTGGGAAGCATTAGAAGAGCTAAGACAGGGTAGCCTGTTAAGCTGCTCCATTTAGTAAATATTTACCAGGCATCTAGTTCTTTGCTGGATCTGTGCAGGGCACTTGAGACATGCAGAGAAATCAGCCAGGTCCTTGCTGTCTGGGCAGAAGTGTACATTGCATTCCTGCTAATGAGCAATGCCATATTAGCAGGTTGTCTGAGAAAGGACTGTGGGGAAGACGTTAAAAGACTTGAGCCAAGGCATAGCGTGAGGAAGAGGAGAGTGGTGGGTTGGAGTTGCTGGAGCAAGAGAAACAGTGAGACATGATGTTAGACAGGTTTGGAGCGTGTCCACCATGATAGCAATGGGCAAGCAGTAGCCCAGACTCTGCCTATCCCCAGGGAAGCAGCTGGCCCTACTCAAGACCAATTCAGCTGTCCGGACCTGTGGTTTTGACTTTGGGGGCAACATCATCATGTTCTCCACGGACAAGCAGATGGGCTACCAGTGCTTTGTGAGCTTCTTTGACCTGCGGGATCCAAGCCAGATTGGTAAGGGTTGGGCCAGGATTGGGGTGAAGAGTGAAGCACTAGAGCCCAAGGCCTGACATCTGCTGCCCCACACAGACAACAACGAGCCCTACATGAAGATCCCTTGCAATGACTCCAAAATCACCAGTGCTGTTTGGGGACCCCTAGGAGAATGCATCATTGCTGGCCATGAGAGTGGAGAGCTCAACCAGTATAGTGCCAAGGTAAGGGTTCCAGGTGGGGCTCAAGCCCACCCAAATTATTCCTTACAAGAGGCTGGACAGTACAAGGGTCAAAAACAAGGGCTGTGCTGGGTGTAGTGGCTCATGCCTATAATCTTAGTACTCTAGGAAGCTGGGGTGGGATGATTGCCTGAGCTCAGGAGTTTAAGACCAGTCTCTAAAAAAAAAAAAAAATAGCTGGCCATTGTGCCTGGTGCCTGTAGTCCCATCTACTTAGGAGGCTGAGGCAAGAGGATCGCCTGAGCCCAAGAGTTTGAGGTTACTCTGAACTGTGATGCCATAGCACTCTACTGAGGATGACAGAGTAAAACTCAGAAAATAAAAGGGGGGAGCCATGTGATCTTGGGAAAATTAACCTCCTTACATCTGTTTATATACACAACGACTGTTTTATTTTTGAGACAGTCTCACTCTGTCACCCTAGGTAGAGTGCTTTGATGTCATACCTCACATCAACCACAAATTTCTGGGCTTAAGCGATCCTCTTGCCTCAGTCTCCTGAATAGCTGGGCCTATAGGCATGCATTACCATACCTGGCTAGTTTTTCTGTTTTTAGTAGAGATGGGGTCTCCCTGATGCTCAGGCTGGTCTCAAGCTCCTGAGCTCAAGCGATTCTCCTGCCTTGGCCACCATGCCTGGCCTATACATTGTTGCAAGAATCAAATGACATCAAGTGTTTAGAAATTTGTCACAAAGTACTCATGGACCTGTGCTCTTAGGACAAAGAGTAAATCCGCGGCTGGCTGCAGTGGCTCACACCTGTAATCCTAGCACTCTGGGAGGCTGAGGCGCGTGGATTGCTTGAGTTAGAGACCAGCCTGAGCAAAAGCGAGACCCCTATCTCTACTAAAAAGGGAACTGAGGCAAGAGTTTCACTGGAGCCCAAGAGTTAGAGGTTGCTGTGAAATATGATGCCATGGCACTCTACCCAGGGCAACAGGTTGAGACTGTCTCAAAGAAATAAAGTAGGGCAGCGCCTGGGGCACAGTGGGTACGGCGCTGCTCCCATATACTGAGGGTGGCAGGTTCAAACCCGGGCCCAGCCAAACTGCAACGAAAAAAATAGCCGGGCACTGTGGTGGGCGCTCAGCTACTCAGGAGGCTGAGG